TGAAAACTTTCGGTCATGCATCCGCATCAGATCACGTTACGACCCAGTGTGGAAAGCAGCATCCACGTTTCACTGGCCAGATTAGAGTAACCGTTTCTCGATATATTGATAACGTATCAAATATATCTTTCCTACCTCTTCGCATCTGACTTTGAATTTCAACCGATCAGGGGACGATTCGAATATAGAAGGTGTTACTGGTCGCTAGTTGTAAAACTACAATACCGGTCGTATCTTCAGTGGTAAGCCCGATTTGATTTTGAGAATACAGGTGGTCCTGTAGTTGAGATGTGATGTATAACATTGCTGGTTACACATGACAATTTCGGTTGCGGCTGATATGTCCCGGAGTATTTATCGAGTAATGGTTGATATAAGGGGTCTATGGCGTGCTTACTTGAGACTGGAGATAATCTGAAACCAGAAAAAAGGGGTTACGCAAACAGATAACTTAGTGTTACCGTCTTTTGACCTTCTTTGGCGTGTCTCGATGAGTAGATTGTGGTATTGTAACAGGTCTATACCAATGATTTGCATAGAAACATCTGCGACAACGAAAATCCAGTGAATGGGTTTGCGTAAATCCACGTTAAGGTAAACGTACCTTTTACCATACGCAGCGATCGGTTTTCCATTCACCGCCTGTAAGCTTAAAACAGACAGTCTGTCGTTGGAATTTGTGGTCGAGAGACAGATCGCTTATGTGAGACACTTCTACACGGAGTTTTTGACCGACTACGGCCATTACGAAATCTAAGATATCGTGGGAGTGTGTGACATAGTTCGGCCATGTCGTTCGGGGTCGATTGAGGTTTTTCTTTGTCGGAAAAAGCCTCGGCGCTAGTGGATTTCGTAATTTCTAAAATGCGATCGGCAGATGCAGCCAGTTCATCTACGGCGTTTTTTTGAAACGAGACGAGAACTGCTTGCACCTGTTTCGGTAATATAGACAAGAGGAGTCGTTTAAATAGGCCATCGTCAAAAGTTATTTGACCTATTACCTTAACAACATGTTCGTCACGGAACCATGTCGCTGGTCGATATTGTTAAGAAGTTGATCCAACCGTTGTCAGTCGGTTAGATCTCCGCGTATTAGAATCGACCGTTTGAGTTTTTCGTAAGGTTCCGGAATATCACTAGTAACCATACCAGGTGATACGTAACCGTTAAATTCGCGCGGTAATGCCTCAACGACCGCGAAGAATGCGTGCGCGAGTCCGTGATTCCGTGCTCGCAAAAGTCAGCTTCTGTGTAGCAGAACCACGCTTTGATATTATCAGGCCAGAGGGGAGTCAATTGAATCGATGGTGAGGTAATAGTTTTTAACTTAAATACCTTGGGTGTGTGTTCCGTCATAGTATCATTAGGACGAAAAACATATAATTAAAATACATCCGAAAAACTAGAAAAAAAGGTATATCACAATATATAAAAATCAAATAAAGATAAGCAATGAATAATGATATTCCAAAAAAGAACAGACTCACAGTTTATGCGCTTGGTGTACCAGATCACGTCGGGCTCACCACTGAAGATACGACCGGTATTGTAATTTTACAACTAGCGACCAGTAACACCTTCTATATTCGAATCGTCCCCTGATCGGTTGAAATTCAAAGTCAGATGCGAAGAGGTAGGAAAGATATATTTGATACGTTATCAATATATCGAGAAACGGTTACTCTAATCTGGCCAGTGAAACGTGGATGCTGCTTTCCACACTGGGTCGTAACGTGATCTGATGCGGATGCATGACCGAAAGTTTTCAGTTAACCAAGTCCACTTAAAACAATGTGGTCAGCATCCAATGTCCAACACTTGAGAAGCTATTGATTTTGGAGATTTATTTGCAGCTACAGATTAATACCCCTAGTGAGGTAGTGATGACCCTAAGACGTGGCCAGCCAGAAGTTTAAACCCATCGAGTTTGTCGTTGGTAAACACTCTTCTGATAGTTTGCTATGTTTAGCAGCGTCTGGTCGTCTTTCTTTATACTAAAAGGACCATAAAGTACAACATAGTAATAAGGAAACAAGGATAAATGAAAATTTCGGTTCCTTCTGAAACTTCGTCGTTCTTTTCCAGCCATCCTGGGAAAGAAAAAAATAGAACGTGTGAGTGCATGTCAAAGTACTCGTGCTTGCGTAAGGACACAAGGTGAGCGGAAAAAGTAAATAAACTAATACGCTTGCGACAGCATAAAAGTGATTAGAAAAAAATTGGTTTTTTGTTTGGGTTTTTTATATATAAAAGAATATATACTCTCATAAGTAAAAAATTGTTTTTTTGAAATAAATATATAAAAAATGAACATATTAAAAAAAATTCTTTTTTATAATAAATAATGCGAAGTGAATTCGAGATAAAGTTTGCGTCCTACGTGCGATTGTCGTTTAAATGTTCTGGAAATCTTACTTTTCTTCCAGAACGCGTTGTTTTAGGTTTATCTATTGTCGTTGGCGAAGAATCAAGATTTATGTCGGCTGTCGTGTAGGGTACTACAAGTGTCGGAGCCGTGCCGCACGATTGTACTGAAGGAAAATCAACATAGCTAAGGTTTCCTTCTAAGTACGCTGCTTTGAGGCAATCGATACTGATGCCATCGTTCGTGCCGTTCTTATCGACTACATAGTACTTGGTTTACGTTGAAGAACTTTGAAGGGTCCTTCGTACGCTGATTCGAGGGGTCGTCGATGTGAGTCTCGACGAACAAAGACGTGTGTACTATGTCCTAAGTCAGGTTGAACGAAAACATCAGTTGATTGAGGTTGAGTGTGAGCAGGTTTAACTGAACGGATAGCGTTTGTAGGCCTACTCATATAAGAGTTTAGATCCATGTTCAATGAAGAAGCTGAAGGATCTACGAATTCTCCTGCAAGTCGGAGTGTCGTCTCATAAGCGAGTTGAGATGCAGTTTATCCAATGTTAGCCTTCACTGAATTGCAGATACTTAGTAAGGCGAGTGGAAGAGCAACTGTCCACTGTGAAACGTTTGTAGTTGATAAGGAAGCTTTTAATTTTCGGTGAAAACTTTCTACCAACCCGTTTGCTTGTGGGTGGTAGGCGGTCGTTAGGAAACGCGTGATTCCTAATAGTGAGGTCAGACAATGGAAAAGTCCAGATTCGAACTGGCGTCCGCGGTCTGTAGTGATGGTTGAAGGGCAGAGGAAATTTGCCAACATCGTTCGACGAAAACGCGAGCCACTGTTTCAGCAGTAATGTCTTTAATCGGTACTGCTTCTGGCCATCGAGTGAAACGGTCTACGCATGTTGAGAGATATGAGTATCCGTTTGAATCGGGTAAGGGTCCTACCAAATCTAGATGGACGTGGTCGAAACGAGAGTCAGGGGTTTTGAAAGAGCCTAAGGGACATTTGTTGTGTCTTATGACCTTAGATTTCTGACAGATTACACAGGAGCGTGCCCACTCCCTCACGTCTTTATTCATGCCAGGCCAACAAAAGCGTTCGGCTATAAATTTGACTGTTGCACGAGCACCTGGATGAGAAGGGTTGTGCAACGTATTGAAGACGTTGCGGCGATAATGTTTTGGTACAATTGGACGATCTCTACCTGTAGATGTGTCATAGAGTAAGGTTTCCTTACCTGTTCCCATCTGCTTAATACGTAGTTTTAAAGTTGTCGAGGATAATTCGTGCTGAAGATCAGTGTCTTCCTTATGAAGCTGAGCGAGTTTAAGAAGGTCGATTCTTTGGAAACTGTTCAAGGAACTTATACTAGATAAGACGTCTGCGACTACATTGTTTGCTCCAGAAATGTGTTGTATGTCTGAAGTAAACTGCGAAATGTAGTCGAATTGTCGAGACTCTCGCGGTGAGTACTTGTCTGAATATGAACTTAAAGGGAAGGTAAGAGGTTTGTGATCGGTAAAAAGCGTGAATTCTCTTGCTTCGTTGAAATGTTGGAAAGTCCGTTCAGCACAATGCATAGCTAGGAGTTCCCTACCGAAACTGCTGAACCTGGATTCAGCGTCTAGCAACCGTCTGGAGAAAAATCCTAAAGGTTGCGAGGAGTGGTTAACCCATTGTTGTAAGACTCCTCAATCTAGACCCCCACATGGAGGAGTCGGTGATCCACTACTACCAGACACGACAGCTTGTTAAGTGAAAGCTCATTTCGTTACTTTCAAAACCATTCGAACAAAGCTTATGGTTTGAACTTTACTCCTCAGCCTACGATACCACCTTTCTCTTCAGATATCTCGAGAGAACGTTGCATGGTTCAGAGAAAATTCAATTTATTGAACTAATCAAAACTGTTAGCTTTATACCTTGGTAAATTGAGAATGACTAAGATTATACATCGAGAAGATTATTAAGGTCTGGCACCTTCACGACCTTTGTGGCAAACAATCTACTATTGCGAAGACACCACAGATATTGTAGCTTGACAACACTTTACCAGTAACACCTCCTACAATTGAATCGCGCCCACTCAGTGAAATCAAAAGTCAGAAGCGAGGAGGTTGGAAGATATATTTGATGGATTATCAATATATTGAGGAGTGACTGATCTAAACTGACTAGTGATCGCAGGAGACGTTGAGCACACCGTTTCAAATCGTGATCTGGTGCGGATGCATGACCGAGCGCCTTTAGCTAAATGAGTCCATTAAACTAATGTGGTCAGTAACCGATGTCGAACACTTACAAAGTTGTTGATTTCGGGGATTTATTTACGGTTACAATTTTCGAGTATTTTAATACTTCAGATGTAGTTGTGGGTGTAGTTTGAAATGCATGTTAGTGAATGTAGCATTCTGTCAATACAAATACATGTATAAGATGCACTTAAATTCTTCATTAAATTAAGACGTTCTGAGATTCGAAACTAGGAGTTGATAAATTAAAGTTTCAATTGTTAGTTCAAAGTTGTGACCTTTTCAGCCAACAGTAAGAAACGAATCGTTACTTGGGATTTCAGTTTGAGTTTTCGAGGGTATGGCTTAGATACGAAGGGATACTGTTTCATGATTTTAGATGCATATGAATAAAGCGATATTTGTCTGGACAAGCTGTTGCGCGTTCCTGTTCTTATTGATTTTAAAACTTGACGAAATTGTTTACTGGAACTGGTTCATCATATTCATACCAATGTGGTCTTTTGACTTTATGTTATTTACTACCTCAATATTATGTATGTCACGGAAGTATGTTCTTATAAATTAACTGATTGATCGTTATGCATTAAACTGATAAATTTTCAGATTCACCCATATAGTTGGTCAACATAACGTTGGAAGTAGATTAGGTCACACTCTCGTATTGAGCTTTATTTTGTGGAAATTAACCGCACAAATTATTCTTTGCCTATCCTTGGAAGGTCACTTAAAAACATTGTTAGACACCTTTTCCCAGTCGTATACTGTTAGCAATGAAACCGGTAATTCGACCGATGCTAAAGCCTTTCTGGTTTACGCAGTGTTTCCTTTGTGGACTACAATGGTTGTGTGTTTAATAATAGTGTGCGCTCAAATCGTAAATCCAAGCGTAACTGGAATTTGATCATTTTTTCAAAAAGTCAACCATGTAATGAAAATCATGAAAGACAAAGACAACGAAAGACCGATGTTTTGACAGGTTTTGTAACAGATTTAAAAGTTATTAGTTGATAATGTTTTGTATTTGTTACTACTTGTCTGTGTACTGTTCTTTTGTGAATAAACGTTTGGGGTTTGTTTAGAATTGTTTTAATCTACAAATCAGAAATAGTTAGAGGAAAATAGTTTACATAGGGGGTCATTGATCTTACTTGTCCGGTGTTACCTGACTTTCTGTTCTTACTAATTTATGTTTTTGAGCAGAGTGAAGATGATCAATTCGGTTGGAACGAGACAGTTTCCCGTGTTTCAGAATTTTAAGCCTGTTCTAATTAGATCTATAATATCAGACGTGTAATGAGTAGATATTGATGAATCACTCGTGTTTTCGAACCATATAACTCTCGTATGTTTCCCGATGACCAGTATAAACCTTCAAATTTACTGTTGGCAGTAGATCGTGTAGATTGCATAAATCTTATCCAAAAAGTGAGTCGACAGGGATTTTATTGATTTGTTCGCCAAAGGTCGAACAAGTAAAATAATTGATTTGGAGCATCTAAGAAGTTCATTATTTACGTTAAACAATTTCGGATACATTCAGATTGCAATAATGAGACGTTTGGAAATTAACTTTTCTAGAGCCTTTTATGATGAATATTATTGATAAAGGAGATAGTACAATTGGTTTTGTCAGTACTTAAACGATAAGTGCACATCGTTTATCTTCTATTTGGACACACCGCACCAAGCAATATGCGTTATCTAGCAAATAAGGTGAATGTGTCAGCTATTGTATATGGCTTACGACCCATAAAACATTCAGAAGTGTTCCAGAACACCTCTCTAAGGCGAAATAACTGAATTAAGCCAGAACAAAAATTGATGCGGAATAATATGAGTTCATTATATTTCGCAGTTGATCATGAGTTGCTTACAACCTTATGTGTATTGAAAATTAACATTGAAGCAAGATATGTGAAACAATTGACGTAGATGAACGAAAATAATTAAAATGACGAAGATTACCAGCATATATGTGATTAACATGTATGTATGGTCAAATTAGTCGGTCGGCAGAAATCTACTTTGCTATATCAGGTATTAGAATCTGGATTGTTCAAATAACACTTACTGAATATCGGTGAAAATCTAGTTATTTGGAGACGTGTGGATTGCTGGTATCTGATAAAGTTGTTTGTCGATTGATGACTAAATGAGACAAAGCATCCACTCAGATAAAATCCTATTATAGTGAACGAGAACTCGAGTGGGAAAAACCGACTTACTGTTTAATACAAAATCACATAATTACTTAGTAAAACATGAAAATCGTATATTAATTACATCATTTTCACACCATCTTTGCATTATCCTTCACATACTAGACTATTCCTCTAATTCTGTTTTTATTTTGACTGCTCTCCGATATTCTTCCTGTTCTCTTCATTTCAGTCTTCTACTGACAGGCATTCCACTCCCGATAGGTGCTACATAATACTTATATCTGTCAGTATAGGTAACATACACCACACAATATAAAAAACTACATAACATAGAGTTCATCACTCAATACGAATGTTCTGTCTATATCTTTGACTTAACTGATGAATTTACTGACCATTATGGAGACTGAATACGACTAACGATAAATATTTCCATTTTGTTATACGAATGCTTAACTGATGTACGTAGATTAGTCTTGAAGCTGTATCAGACTTGAAGTATAATGAATCTAACAAGACAATAGTTGACAGCTAACAGCTTAGCACTATAATCGTTGAAAAATTCTCATCATATTGAAACACGGATAAATGAACGGAGAATGTTCTTCCCGATAATTTCTCTGCAGGTTCTACAATCGTGAATGCAAATTAATAATTCAAAAAGTTCCTATGTATTAAGGTGAAGTATATGATTTATAATTATAGCATGTGAATTTTGGGTTGTAGAATAAAATAATGTTGGGATGACTAACACAAAGTGACGATTTGAATAAGTTTATATGCTAAATGAAGTCGTGAGATAAATAATCAGAATAAATATGGCCAGCACGGGGTGAGAGAGTGTGATAATGAGTATTTAAATTGTTGTACGAACTAGGAATTCCCGAAATAGTGCAATCTAAGTAGACAGAACTAGGTGAACCCTAACGAACGTATTGTATATGTAATTCGAAATCATGCAGACACCAAGTACAAATGAATCATTAATTCACACAAACACCACAGAGAGATAATTACGTAATCTAAAATCAGGAATCACGTAATATGTAGAATCGGATATGAATTAGTAAATAGGGGTAGATGCTGAATAAATTCTTCACAAACGTTTGGAGTTGTTATGATAATGATGACAGCAATGATAATAATAATAGTATTGATGATATGATGTATGTATAATATAGATTTAAGTTATAGAAATGAACACTAATCGAATTCGTCACCATACCATAATGATTATAAAGTAATTAGACCACAAGTTGAATAAGAGAAAAGGAGCGACTAAATATATTTCTTCAACATATGTTTAATCATGATTGAACTCATGCTGAAGTTTCATTGGTTTGATGTGAATGACAGAAATGAAGCATACATGTTCTGTTATCTGAGAATACTGGTTTGTATGTGGTGAAATCTCAATGTGGTTCCATAATAGTTTGATTGGCTCGTGTTTGTAGTTCTTAGAAGTTAGTGATAAGTAGGTCAAGAATATTTTGGTCTATCATTCTTATGTTTGAACGATTCAAACATTTAAAGGTAGTCCATTTATGGTGATCAGACTGATGACGGGAACATGTGGACAATTACCGCTGTTAGGTTAGTGTACCACTAAAATTTTACTTACTACGTTGATTTTAAACATTCATCTAACATGTGATGTTTCACCATTTCTGTCGAAAAAATATCTATCAACCAACCGTTGATTCAATTATGTTGAATATTTACTCTAGTCATCATATTTTCATTTTCACACTACAAGCAGGATTTCAGTCTATACTTCATGTTAACGCAGAGCAAACGACCAAGACTGAAAATTTATTCATCGTAAAGACGCTCACATTCAACTTTGATTGGATTTCAATTGTTTCTGTGCAATCAAATTGAAAGATCTTAAGTCAGAATACTATTAGACTGTGTGATAAAACTGTGTTCATCAAGAAAGACTGCAGACAGAATAACTATGGTTAAAAGTTTTATAGTTAAGATCATGAGTCAATTGAGGCTAGACCACCATCGAAAACCTGGAAGCACTGGACGGCCGTTTCGTCCTATTATGGGACTCCTCAGCAGTGCGCATCCACGAACCCGCTCTCGCGAGATTCGAACCCAGGACCTACCAGTTGGATGCTAGCTCAGTGGTCTATCGGTTAAGGGCTCCGGCTCGAGACTGGTAGGTCCTGGGTTCGAATCTCGCGAGAGCGGGTTCGTGGATGCGCACTGCTGAGGAGTCCCATAATAGGACGAAACGGCCGTCCAGTGCTTCCAGGTTTTCGATGGTGGTCTAGCCTCAATTGACTCATGATCTTAACTATAAAATTACTAAATCTCCACAAAAACCCCCCTTGTGATTATGGTTAAAAGTGTTTTTGAGATAATGGCTACCGATCGAACTGATTAATCAGAATAGGAGAAGAGAAAGAATGGAATTAAGTACTCCAATGTGGTCTTCCTGGCATGATGAAATCCAGAATGTTTAATATTGAAGAGAAATCATCCGGCCCAAAACCAAGTCTAATTATATCAAACCGAATGTCGACGAAATAATAATTGGTAGTAATAATAATGAGAAAAATAATTGATAATAGTTTTGTCAATTCTTTACTGTCCTAACACTTCTGGCTTATCTTCAGTTGTTATTGTTGCTGTTGTTTTAAGAAGAAAAATACAATCACATTAATTTCATTTGTTAACTACTACATCATGTGATGACTTCAATTGAACTACATGGCAGTACTACGTTAGTCATTCTATTTTCTTTAATTTCATAGCCTCTGTATTTTAAATATGCTAAACTCTCTGTTAACCGTTTCATGAACATTGACCAACTGTTTAGTTCCGTCTCTATTAGAGAAGTTTATTAGTGAATTGATTATTATAATCTCTTGAAACTATTGTGGTGCATAATTCTAAATACTAATAACTTGTTTAAGTGGTAGGATATGTGAAATATGAGTGAATAATTTGTTAATAGCTTGTTTCAACATTATACAGCACAATTCAAAGTTCAATTCTTCATACAATTTGATTGTTATAAAGTGATTTTATCTGAAATGATAACTGATTAGACAAAGTCCAATTCGGATTATTCAAGTTATGCATACACATAGGATTATTCAGTTAAGCTAACATGAATATGATTTGGAAAATCTTAATTTAACACGTTCATGTCTACCATTTTAACATATTGCATAGATATTGTTGAGAAAACATTGTGAATACCATAGTTCGCAGGGTGAGTTTTGCATAACCAAATAATTGATTATTTTGAAGTAAAAACAGGTTTGTAAAGTGTATTACAATTTGTGCATTTTACATATATATGTGTGAGTTCTGACCAAATTTTCTAGTTAATTAACTAGAGCGAAAACATAACCAGTTTCACATCCATCATGGTTCCAAATGAAGTATTACGATTTAGTGTAATATAATGATTCGTGCCTATTACTCTTAATGGAACATAGGCCACCGACCATCATTCTCCAACCCATTCTGTCATGGGCTTTCCTTTCTAGTTCTATCCAGTTTTTGTTCATTCTTCTCATGTCTGTCTCTACTTCTCGGCGTAATGTGTTCTTTGGTCTTCCTCTTCTCCTTTGGCCTTCAGGATTCCATGTAAGGGTTTGTCTTGTGACGCAGTCAGCTGCTTTCCTCAATGCGTTTCCTGTTCACTCCCAGCGCTTCTTCATGATTTCTTCCTCCGCTGGAATCTGGTTTGTTCTATTCCACAGTAACTTGTTGCTGATAGTGTCTGGCCAACGGATCCGAAGTATCATGCGTAGACAACTATTAATGAACAAGTGTATTTTCTGGATGATGGCTTTCGTAGTTCTCCAGGTTTCCACCTCATACAGTAGAACTGTTTTGACCTTCGTATTGAAAATTCTGATATTGGTGTTGGTTGACAGTTGTTTTGAGTTCCAGATGTTCTTCAGTTTTAAATATGCTGCTCTTGCTTTGCCGAATCACCCCCTCACATCTGCATCAGATCCACTGTGTTCATCAATGATGCTGCTCAGATATGTAGGGGTTTTCACATCCTCCAAAGCTTCTCCGTCAAGTGTGATTCGATTGGTGCATGCTGTGTTCTATCGGAGAATCTTGATACTGAGGCTGCTGCTGTTGTTGCGTGTGCGATAGAAAAGTCAGATCATCTGCGAAATGTAAATCGTCCAGCTGCATCTTAGCTGTTCATTATATACTGTGTTCCCTCCACATATTGACGTCTTCATGATCCTAGCGATCACCAGGAGAAAGAGAAAGGGTGATAGTAAGTAACCTTGCCTGACACCGGTTTCTACCTCGAACTGTTTAGTGAGTTGTCTCCCATGCACGATTTTGTAGTTTAATCCATCATAGAAATTCTAATATTATGTTGACTATCTTCTCAGGCACGCCGTAGTGTCGAAGAAGCCTACATAGTGTTGTCCTGTTCACACTATCGAATGCTTTCTCGTTGTCAATGAAGTTGATGTACAGTGATGAACCCCATTCAATTGACTGTCCCACAATGATCCGTAGAAGAGCGAAGTGGTCTGAACACGATCGATCCTTACGGAATCCAGCCTGTTGATTTCGAAGTTGTGCGTCTACCGAGTCCTTCACTCTGTTTAACAGTACCCTATTGAAGACTTTTCCTGGTATTGGGAGAAGAGTGATGCCCTGTAGTTATCACACTTGCTGAGATCACCTTTTTTAGGTATTTTGATCAGAAGTCCTTCGTTTCACTTTGTTGGTACACGTTCTTCATCCCAAATCTTACTGAAGAGGATGTGAAGTGTCTTTGCAGTTACTGCTACATTTGCTTTCAGTGTCTCTGATGTAGTGTTGTCTGGTCCTGCTGCTTTTCCACTCTTTATCTGTCTGATGACCATGCTGATCACTTCAATTGTCGGTGGGCCAAAATCGATTGGGAGTTCGATGTTGCATGGGTTCAGTGGAGCTAGTCGATTCAAGAGTTCTTTGAAGTGTTCTACCTTTCCAGTTGCTCTCCATAGCAGTTCCCTGTCTATTGAGTAGATCACGAAAGGCCTGGAATTTTTGTTGAGGACTATCTCGTATATATTGAGTTTGTCCGCATCTCGAAGAAAGGCTGTAATAAACTTTTGAGATGTTGTTGTTGTTTTCCAATGCTTCTTCAGTTTTAATTTCATCTTGGCGACCGGCAAATTATGATCTGATGCTATATCAGCTCCTCTCCTCGTTCTCACATCCTCCATCGTCCTCCTGAACTTTTTGTTGATGTAGATATGGTCGATTTGGTTCTGTTTAGTGCGAACCGGTGAAGTCCATGTGGTTTTGTGAATGTGTTTATAAGAGAATATAGTGTCGCCTATGACCAGTTTGTTGAAGGCACATAGGTTTGCAAATCTCTCACCATTTTCGTCCCTTTCTTCCAGTCAGTCCATGTAGTCGCATGACGTCTTCGTATCCAGTGTTGTCCATTCCAACCTTAGCATTTAAATCTCGCATCAGAATGGTCAGGTCCTTTGTTGGGTAATTCTCGACGATCGACTGCTGTCTATCGTAGAATTGGTCTTTAGCGTCTTCATCGTAGTCGTTGGTAGTCGCATAGCATTGGATGAAGTTCATTGTAATGCCCTCTCTCTTTGTTTTGAAGGAGGCTTTGATGATCCTTGGTCCATGAGATTATAACCCTATAAGTTCATTTCGTGTTTGTTTGGACAGCGTCAATGCAACTCCTTGTGTATGTGGGGCATATTCTTCTTCATGACCGGAGTATAACAGAAACTGCCTTGAAGCTAGTCGTTGTTGTGCAACTTGCGTCCAATGTGTTTCACTGATCTCAAGCACCTCCAGATTGTACTACATGGTAGTACTACGTTAGTCAGTCGTTTCTCTTTAATTTCATAGCCTTTGTATTTTAAATATGTTAAACTCTCTGTTAACCGTTTCATGAACATTGACTAACTGTTCAGTTTCATCACTATCAGAGAATTTTATTAGTGAATTGATTATTGTAATCTCTCGAAACTATTGTGGTGCATAATTCAATTTATCAACCAATCAGGAAAATTATGCGGAAACATAGGAACAAAAATCAAATGAATGGGAGATACAACCAAAACAAAGAAATAAACAATGACATATTTAAGGTCAACAAGAACCAATCAACATCGAGGTGAACAGGACAAGCTATGAACCACATGAGGAGAAATTCAAACACTTCACTTCTACCCAAAGTTTGTGCTAATGATGTCGTTCAAAAAGACGATGTAAGCTCCACGACCAAACCATCCAGCTCAGGGAACAAAACTTCATCAACATTGGAAATACTACTAACGTGCATAAGTAGTAAGATATGTGAAATATGAGTGAATAATTTGTTAATAGCTTGTTTCAACATTATACAGCACAATTCAAAGTTCAATTCTTCATACAATTTGATTGTTATAAAGTGATTTTATCTGAAATGATAACTGATTAGACAAAGTCCAATTCGGATTATTCAAGTTATGCATACACATAAGATTATTCAATTAAGCTAACATTAATATGATTTGGAAAATCTTAATTTAACACGTTCACGTCTACCATTTTAACATATTGCATAGATATTGTTGAGAAAACATTGTGAATACCATAGTTCGGAGGTTGGATTTATCATAACCAAATAATTGATTGTATTGAAGAAAAAAAACAGGTTCGTAAATTGTATTATAATTTGTTCATTTTAAAAATATATGTACGACTTCTAACCTAACTTTCCACTTAATTAACTAGAGCTGGAACATTGCCAGTTTCACATTGAAGATGATTTCAAAAGAAGTAGTATGTTATGCCGTAATATAATGATTGGAGTTTCGATTCATATTCAATGGTTGTCTAACAAAATTCTGTTGCCGACGGACTCATGATGATTACATCTATTAGTATTTATATAACGTCTTCGCAGTTCTAACTGTATTAAGTATTATTATTTTCTATATTAGATGGAATATTCAGATGGCTTGTGAATTTCTGTACAATATTACACAAGAGTTTTCATCATGAGCTGATATCGTTGGTAGACACATTGGAAATCGTGTTCACCAAAACAGTTGTTTGTTTATAGTTTGTGATTACACAGACGTGAGTATCCATAACTTCCCATTGAATAAAATATACGAAAAAAATCTTGTAATGATAATAATGTCAAACAACCACTGAGTTGGAACTTCACGTAACCACATAAATCACAATTTCCAAACTCCAGTCAGTTGATGATATAGCATGAGTAACCATCATCAGCGTGATGAATGTTGGATAGTGATCATATTACAAATTGACGAAATCGAGTTAAATCTGTTTTCATTCATTGTAGATACACAAATAGAATGCTTTAGATGGTACATCTGTTTCCACACTCACCAATAAGGTGTAACTGTCCTATACATAAACTTAATACTCATTCACAAAATCCTTGACATCTCATTGTATAGTGAAATATTTTCGGAATGATTTGCGAAGTTCTATTACATGAGAACCATATTGCATGATTTCATTTTTCATTTGCAATTTCCTTTCAGACTCAACTGAATCGTCACTAAATTACGTTCTGTCAATTGTCATAATCTTTCAATAGGAGGTATGATGCATAAATTTGGAATTGGAAAAGTGGTCAATTTGTGGACACAGGAAGTGAGGTACAACATGGAAAGATTCAAAGAAGCATCAATTAATCGACGACAGTATTCAAATAATGAAAATGTGTTAACTTTGAATGTAAGCAGAAATAATCTGTGTGTGCGTTTTTCGTCATCATGGTACTAATATTGCGACAAGAACTCCTGAATATCACTGTTCTCAGTCTTGTTATCAAAATGGTCTGGATATCTACAGTTCATTTTTCTTCCCTACACAGCAGTTCAGTTCATAGCCTTTACTGTTATCGGTGTCCAGGTGATGACTACAATGCACAAAGTGATTGATGTAGAACTGAGCAATCGTTCAATATCTTTCTTATTTTGTATGATATAAATTTTATGTTTTCTAAGAATTGAGAGTATCCATCGGATTAACTGTTAGTTCTTACAATTTTCGACAAAATCTCCTTGTGATATCATTTTTATTCACGATTTTGTGACCGTCGAACTTAATACACATTAGTTTTGGAAGAGAAACTCAATGATTCACATCTAGTAAACAGACTTAAACTCAAGGGACAGGATGTTTGTTCACTTAGTTTAGACGGTTATTTGCATACGGATAATGATGATGCATTCAAACATTACACATAGTTGATAGAACACTACACACTTGTATTTTTCACTACAATGGAAGTGTGTCTTTCCAAGTTATTCGGCGATTACAGAGCGGGATTCATGTAGTAAACTTTGAACCATTTATGTTTCCTATGTTAGATATGGATATAATGATGAAAAATTAAGAAATCAATATCTTATTCCATAGAACCATATCAGGGAATAAGACTTCTGACTTGTCACACCACAGTATATACATTGCAATCAGTAAACTAATCTGTAGATTGTAACAAGCCCATTCAATTATTGTATTGTGTGCTCTCGGTAATTTAGATTGAGCTCATGTGTATGCACATCAATCTTTATTCTATTCTCTCATTGATTGTAGGCAAAGACAATCGATAAGTTATCCCCAACCGATTAACACTCATCAATATATATGGATTTTTAACACATACATACACACACATATACACACACACACTTGTTTTCCATGTGTGCTTGCCATCTGTACGCTTGTGGATTTTTATCAAAACTTCAACGGTAGACTATCTCTATAACTGGTGTTCAGGCTTTTGAATAATCTCGAGTGAAGACATAATTCTACTAGGAGATTTAGCCTGCATTAAATATTTATTTATTGGAGTCAGATATGGAGGAATTAATCCTCTACAAGTTAGATTAATCTATGAGAAGGTGCATCATAGATTTAAGCAAATTAAGTCATACAACATGGGAGTTCTGCACAAATGTGAAACCGGATTGACATGATAAAATTATTTATATTAGCAAAACATAAACCCCATTTTACATGTTTCTTTGTGTTTTCATCTTCTATTTTACTCATTTACAGGTACTTGCAATTACAGTTCTTCAGTTTGCAATCACTTTTGGAGGAACGTGTTTGTTTATTTTAGTGTATGTAGTATTTCTGTTTAGTAAAGTTGAATCAAACTTATTTTTAGTCAACAGATCAGTGAGTGGATGAAAAGTCAACAACTATTCTTATGGGTCTCAAGGTAAAAGCCACTCACTTTACTATCATTATTCAATATATAACTAATAACACTAATAAAATGAAAATACGATGGTGTTCCAAATTAAACCTTTGCTAAATTAACAAGCTGTCAATGCGATTCAGTATCATTATCCATCAAGTTTAGTCATATATACATTCACATATTGTTGAGTGTCTGTCACGATGGTACTGATAATCTGATAAAATAATGAATTCAATAAGATGATTGAAATGATATTTTGTTGATAAAACGTTCCACGAAATCCAAATCAAACACATGGGTATATTGCGATGTTTTCATCATACTTCTAATATACCTGATCTGTAAGGGGACAAAATACTACTGTACTTACTTACGTCTGTTACCTCTCACGAGACAGCATAGACCGTCCACCGAAATTGTCCATCCACCTCTGTCCTAGACAATCCTTTCCAGTTCTTTCCAGTTGCTATTCATCCTTTTCATGTCTACTTCCAATTCTCGAGGCAGTGTTTTTCGGCACTCTTCCATTTCCTCTCAGGATTCCAAGTGAGTAACAGTTAAATTGAGATCCGATTATTTCAGATTAATCCATAGCATTCATATGAATTGGTAATCCACATTCAGAGTTTGTTAGCAAACCTGTGTGCACAACACAGATAGGAAGATAAGATTGTGAAGGGATGAGTGAAGTAGAAGAAGTATAGCTAAGGAAATGGATGGATAAAAATAGGTGAAAGAGAGTGGTAGAGAATGGGAAAAAGAGATCAGTAGAAACATATAAGCAGAGAGGATTCTTTCAGTAGAACAATCTCCTTTCATTTTTATGAAGAATGTGAAACGAAACTACAGAGTGGCATCAATCGGCTTCTATTCTTAGTTGTGTCTGATAAGACATCGAGCTAATGAGTTGCACTATCTCTTACACGTCAATCAGAGAATCGTGATGGAATGATAGATACCAGTCTTGTACAGATTTTATACTACAGAACTATGTCATAGATCGACCGTCTCTTGACTTTCTTCTATCAATTCCACTATCTGAAAATGAAGCACGTTATAGAAGTCACTGGGATCACCTTCATAGCACATGTCGACAGATACACTGCATTTTTGGCACTTCAAAAGAGTGTTGAATAAGGCTGACGGATAAAGAAGAAACAATGATATTGTCTATTCAAAGTGTAATCATTATTTATCTGTTATCCGATCTGCGTTAGTGTGAGAATATTGAAGCTGGTCAATATGAATGGAAGATCTGTTTTCAGAAAAGCTCATTCAAAATATTCATCATGGAGTAATACTCACATTTCAACTGATCAGTGAATTGAGTTCTTTTGGATAGGAAAACAATTTCACCACAGACAGACTGCTGTGTGATTTCAGGAATATACATAAACACAGAAAATGCACAAAAGAGAATAGAAAGTGGAGTGAAATAAAACAAAGACGCATGAATCAGGTGGAAAATAATTGTGTTTTGATTTAGTAGTGAAGTGCAGACGAGAAATCCATTTCTCCATAATTATTCATTGTCATGTTTATGAGAAGGATGTGATACTGTGAGGGCTGTCAGTCAGAAGCGCGTGGATGCATGAAGGTGCAACTTCCCCAATCATTGTACTACAGGTCTGATTCCCAAGCATTGAAGCCAAACATCAACTCCGCCTGTAGCTCTTCTAGAGTTACTGCCGGTCCCAAGTCCGGGTAAAGGAGGAGGGTTGGGCATGGGGTTAGCGACCCTATCCAAATACAAAGCTAAAAAAACGCTAACCAGAAAAAGCCGAAATTTTTAGGGAGTCACGAGACCGATGCACCTTCTAACAGTTAGAGCAACATTCTTTATGGGTATTCGGAATGCACGGAAAATGTAGGAGACAGGGAAGACCAGTCAAATAGCAATGGAAATGAGGAGATACAACTTGGAAGTACTCAAAATCAGCGAAACGAAATGGACACAAGCTGGACAGAAAAGGCTAGTACAGGAGAGATGCTGCTGTACTCTGGTCACCAAGAAGAAATGCTCCAAACACTCAGGGAGGTGCCCCAATGCTGTACAGAACAGCATTAAATGTAGTTGTAGGATAGGAATCTCATGGATCCAGGATAATCAAAGCATCATCCAAAACAAAGAATGAAGGAATCACAATGAATGTTTTCAGTGTTATGCACCCACCAATGATAGCAACGACGATGATAAAGATCAGTTCTATGAAAGGCTGCAATCAATCATAACTAAGTGCTCAAGAAAGGACCTCACAATCCTGATTGGAGATGTAAATGCTAAAGTCGGAGTGGACAACACAGGATATGAATATATAATTGAACGACATGGATTAGGAGAGAGAAGTGAAAATGGGGAGAGATTCGCAAATCTATGTGCATTCAACAAATTGGTTATGGGCGGCACAATATTTCCACACAAACGCATACACAAAGCTCATAGATCTTGCCGGACCACACCACAGAGAACCAGATAGATCATATTTGTAGCAACAAAAAATTGCGAAGAAAAATAGAAGATGTGAGAATCAAGAGAGCAGCTGATATAGCTTCAGATCACCACCTGGTTGTGGTCAAGATGAGACTGAAGCTAAAGAAACACTGGACAACTGAAGAAACAGCACTACAAATGTTCATTACAGCCTTCTTTCGAGATACTGACAAGCTCCACGAATTCAAGATAACTCTCAACAACATGTTTCAAGCTCTACAGGATCTACTGAAATAACAAGAAACTACTTTGGAGGACAACTTGAAAGGGATCAAATGAGCACTAACTTCAACGTGTCAGGAGGTTCTGTGTCCTAAGAAACATCATCATAAGGAATAGATCTCTGTGGGAACCTTGAACAACATTGAAGAGAGGAAGAACAAGAAGACAGAAATTAATAGCAGACGAACAGGAGCGGAGAAATTCAAGGCACAAGCAGACTACGCAGAATCAAAGAAAGAAGTGAAGAAAAACATTAAAGCCTATAACAAGATTTAGGTGGAAGATCAAGTTCCACCGACGGACTGGAAAGAACGGCACCTCATCGACATACCAAAGAAAGGAGATCTGAGCGAATATGAGATGCAGACAAGGCTGTCTACTCTCCCCCTTCATCTCTCTCATGGTGACTGACTGGTTCATGAAGACCTTGAATTCGGAGGGGAAGCACGGAATACAATAGACATCAAAAAACCCAATACATGATTTGGACTTTGCAGATGACCTAGCCCTCTTCTCTCATACACACGAACAAATGCAGACGAAGAAAGCAAATGTAGCAGCACCCTCTGCATCAATAGGCCTTAACATACACAAAGGGAAAAGTAAGATTCTCAAATACAACACGGAGAACACTAACACAATCACACTTGATGGAAAAATTCTGGAATATGTGGAAACATTCACGTACCTGGGCAGCATCATTGATGAAGAAGTAGGATCCGCTGCAGACGTGAAAGCGAAGATTGGCAAAGCAAGGACAGCATTCCTACAATTGAAGAACATATAGAACGCAAAACAACTGTCAACTAAGTGATAATCCTCAATACGAACGTCAAGACAGTCCTACTGTACGGAGCTGAAGCGTGGGGAACTACTACATTCATCGTCAAGAAGGTGCAGCTGTCTGAGCAAAATATTCAACATTCACTGACCGGATACCATCAGCAACAGCGTTTTATGGGAGAGGACAAACCATCAGGTTCCAGCTGAAGAGGAAATTCAGAAAAGACGTTGGAAGTGGATCGGACATACATTAAGCAGATATTGTAGTGAACAAAACACTAGTTGGGGGCAATCTAATCTATTTAAGCAAAATTACAGACTATCTCAATAAATTCTGATAACGAAACAATGAACAGTCAATTTGCAAATTAATAACCAATTGTTTCAATCTTCACTGTTTCTTCTCTTATTCCATTGCTCATGCATTTTCCAGACGTTTGCGTTTCATTTCAGTTCTTTCCTCATCCGTCTTCTGCCAAAATACATTCTATGTCTGACCCACACCATATACTACTTATATGGATATAAGTAGATCACACCACAATATGAAAAGGATGAATGGTAACTGGAAGGAAGTGGAAAGAAAGGCTCAGGACGGCGTTGGAAGGAGAATGTTGTTTTGCGGCTTATGCTCTTCGACGAGAAGTAACAGGCGTAAGTAAATAAGTAAAGAGGAAAATCCACAATAAACATTATTCCATTGAGTGCTAACTAAGCAAAAATATGAACCAGTTTTCTAAAACACCTCTGAACAAGGTTTCTACGTTTTCACATCACGAAGGTCTCCACTCAATGTTACACATCTCCATTATATCAAAATATAATTTGTAACTGTTATTGATATTCTTATATTTATCACTACGTTAATATTGTTATTAAAATTCTTCACTATCTACAGCGGCATCTACTTAGTTCTTCAATTGATTTGGATGTTTGTTCCAGCATTATCACGGAAATATCCATACAATATAATCTATCTAATACTGATGGTAAGTAAAATTACTTTTGAAGTTCAGTTAAGATTTACACATAATAGAAATCTTTACATTGAATTCAGTTTATATAACCACACATCAACCAATCAATCTATCCATCCATTTGCCCAGTCGGTCTAAACACCATTATCTAATTAGTCAATTGAGTTTTATAAGAATAAGCAGTCATAGGAAATAAAGATTACTCTTTCACTGACACTGTTGTGATATATTTCCTTTCGAATTGTAGTTTATTATTTATTATTTTTATTATTACAGACATTATTTTCGACCGCTGCAATCGCATCGGATGCAACCTTGTACAAGGAAGATATTGTCACTAATATGTTTGGTGTGTCGGTGACATTATTTAATCTCATTATTTACACCATAACTATTCTACGATATGATTTCACCAAATATTACCTCACAAATCTGATTTTGACAATAATTATTGATTTGACACTATTAATTGGACAGAGTCTTTACATCATATTGGACAACAATAATGTAATTATGTTGCTTGCTTTTACTAAATTGATGTCTAATTGTAATTCTGTAAATGACTCTATTTTATCGTTTGTTATGAATTTGTTAACACAATGATAATCAAACATCTCAGTAGTTATGTAGTTTCAGTTCAAATGGAGATATCACATATTCAATGGAGCTCTGAGTGCCAGTATTGAATAGAAAACGAATCGGAAATAATGTATTATGTTCTCACCTGAACATAAATAAAATTAGATTTAAGTCATCGAAATATATATGTATCTGATTTGTCTTAGTTCAGATATTGTTTTGAGGATAATGAAATCTTCATGGATAAGTTCGAAATTCGTACACGTTTAATAGCCCCCATAGTCATCACAGAATAGTTGTTTGAGTTCAACGCAATTGTTGAAAACCATTAGAAAGTAGATGAACGGTCGTGATTCAAGTGAATTGAAATGATCAGTTTATTCCTCTATCCTTTCATAACTACTCAATACCTGTAACTAAAAGGAAGACACCATTTATTCTCATCTTCTTTGAATGATGTTGAACATGTAGGCTATTGAATACTACCTAAAATGCTTGTCGGTAATGTACTCATTGCTACTCCTAAAAGCTCTGAATTATACACACTTCCTAAATGTTTGTGAGTTCATATTCATGTGAGATCTTGAACTAATATAAAATAGTTGCCTAATGACATCTTCGATTGATAATATTCACTTGGTTGATATTAATCATTGAAGCATGTAAAATTTCCGTGAAATTTCATTCTCTGAGCTGAATGATTTCAGCGTAATACACGATTAAACCATTCAAATCGCTGAATGAAAATCCACTCAATCTATAAATCTCCACTTTCTCAAGTCAAACTTCACTCGTCATTCTACGGATTCGAAACTGAGTTCATGTTTATGTTTGTGAAAGTTGATCTGTCTATCGACTTGTGATAGAAAGTGATTCAATTAATCACATATTCAATTGCTTATACTTAATTTTTTGTTTAATGGTAAATCAATAATTATCTGACTTAATTGATTTTCGATAACCTGAAACTTCTTTCGACACATTTTCTCTCCATCTTTTATTAGACTGTACTGACTGTTGCTGGTGCAGTTGGTTTACCATTCACACTTTTTGTAAGTTAACTGTTTTTACATTTGATGGAACATCCTCAACTAACTATCAAACACGTATTCTTTGAAAGTCAATGTTGCATAATGTATTCACTTTTAACTATTATTTCATAAATATATGGTCAATACTAATAGCAATTTGAAGGCTTGCCAACACTCCATTTAAAACGTGTGAATTTGGTCACACCATGTTGTATATTGATTGAAGTTAGACGTGTAGATCATTGAATACTTGCTTATTCGTCTAGATGTTAGATGTGCTCGTACAAGATCCAATGTCCTGAAAATGATCACGATTATGGGTTGTCGTTGCATACTGATAAAAACCACCATATTAAACAAAACAGGTGTCCAGTGCATCCAAATCTCACACGGTTCGCTAACTCACACTAATTCGTGATCTTACGAAAATCCAAAATTCCACAAAACACCCAAGTTGTTCGGCAACTGACTGAAACTCATATTTTGATGAGAAGTGTAGATTTTCAAATAAGTTATTTAACTGCTTCTTGATATTACTGATACATAAAATCATCCAATACTGACTTCGTAGTTGATGTTAAGTCTAACACAATCGAATCAAAAAAAGAAATTGGAATTAGGAAAATTCAAATACAGGCTACGACTTAACAAGTAGTTTATGTATACATGTGATAATTCAATTCTAAGCTTCCAAGTGACCCTGGGATTCTAGAATCTTCTGTGTAAAGTATTTAACATGGAAATGAAACCAGTACTTGATTAACTAGATTAGAAATCTTAGCAATTCAACCATAGTATGACGAATAGTTTTTTTCAAATATCCCGAATCTGATTGTACATACTCTTACATATTCATAATTTCTCTTTCATAGAAATTATTATATGAAGTGAAGATGGTGTTTGGAGGCGGCGAATTTCGGTACAGTCGAATGGATTTAGTATTAGCAGCTGGAATTCTTTACAATTGTTGGTGGAAATTGTTTTTGACACTGATGTGGATATCTTCGTATTCAGGTTTGAAAGAATCGAACTCAACAAATGCAAATTCATCTAACGTTACATCTTCAGTTTGTTTAATAACTCTAACGAAATTCGATTGAATATGTATTTCCAGTGGGAACATTACAAGATTATTTGTTAACGACGAGTCTTTAAAATGTTGCTCTTTTTTCTCTGATTATACAGCCATATTTCAGTGTTCAATGTGTCATAAAAGATGGTTATGCTTTGAATCACTTTACTCTTTGCATAGTTTTCTCATTTCTGAAATTTAAATATTAGTACTATATACAAATGTTCATGTATAATGAGATTATGAAATGTTAATGAGATTTAGGAAACCGGAGTTCTTGGTCATTTGTTTCACCTAGAAATTATAGTTTGTATTATACCAGAGTAGTTATCTTGACCCATCAGAGAGGGGTTTTGCGGAAGCCGTGAGTAGTGTAGTTCAACCTGTTCTGTTGTGAGATAGTAATTCATTGAAGACAATGATGGACAGTGGAGCGGTTTGTATGGATAAGTTGAAGTTAGACATGAACACTGTTGAATGCTGGTCAGCTCAGCAGTAGAATTTAGGCGTTCGCGCTCTGGACCGATAGGCCTCGAGTTTTAATCTCGTCAGCGTGATCGTGGATGCACTCTGCTGAGGAGTCTTATATGTTATATCCTAGTGAAGATTTAAGTACAGGTAACTTCAGGGGCCTGTTAATCGAAAATTATTCTATATATATTCTAATTGTTTAACTATTGAAAGATTAGATTATGTATATCTATATCCATCTTATTATAAGCTTCGTTTTGACCTATTAATGATTACTGTACGATTTATTGTTCCCAAATTATATTCAGTTTATTGATTACTGTATCCCATGTTCACAGCCATATTTGGCTTAATCGTGTACAAATATTATTTTCTATTTTATGGTTGATGCGGTCTGTCTGTCCGATATATAAACAGAGTATGCTTGAAATAAATGATTCGCATAGATTCGCATAGCAGAAGCTGTAATTGGTGTTCTGGACTCAATTGTAAGGTCTAGGCGGACAAAGGACCAATAAGGACGCTAGACTGCTCATGCCAGTTGAACGTCATCGATTTATCACAGTGGTAATGTCGGAAAAGTCGTATCTTGATTGGTGGATAATTGACGTTATAAAAAGGAGGACGTAAAGTCAATAATGAATTAACATACGTCCTATATCTTTTTTAGAAAGTCATAACAATTTGGCGACAGCGATTTCGGCAACAAAATAATACGACGATTGGGACATGATTTTGGAAATCAAGAAAGCTGTAATAATTGCCTGTGGTTTTTGGAGTTAATATTATTATTAGCAGTGAAATGAAATGGCTATTTCTTTAGAACAGTTGCAGCTAATATTACAGCACCAGCAACAGCAGATGTTAGCTTTTCAACAGCAACTGATTGAAGCAGTTTTGGCCAAACATTCCACTCGACCAGAGATTCAAGAAAATAAAAAAATTGTTTGTGCTGCAGATAATGGTGCAGTAATGACTGTTTAAGAAATATGCGGTGTTGGGGGTTCAAGTCCCTTTATAACTGAAGCAAAATGTGAAAATGGAAAACCGTCCTGTTCACAGCAAGACAATATCTTGCTAAAAGGACGTAAACTTGTGACAGTATCAGATGACCAAGAAACAGAAGATTTTGTAGATAAAGCCCTGAAGCACTATTTACTCTGCCAAACTCTGACGATAAACTACAACCAGAGCAAAATTATGGTCCACGTGATATTGGTCGTGAAAGCTGTCAACATAATTTTAAATAGTATAAAGACATTATTACAATAGTAGGAAGGATTCGTGATTACAGTTTATTTAGCTTGAAGGATTTTAAGTTCTACACGATCATAAGGTCTGTTTTATAACTGAAATGCCTTTCAGAACGAGTCAAGTATTCATGAGATAATCTTACAATAATCGATGCAACCTAATCTATAGACACGTTTGCGTATCAACGTGAAGAATATCTTTACATTAATTTTGAGTAAAGTATTTCAAATGGCTTTATATATTTTCTGGTATACTCTGTATGTTCTGTAAGGTAATATAGTGGTGTAGGTTGCTCGCATCCTCATATGTAGTATATGACGATGGTCAGGCAGAGAAAGCATTTCACTAGAAAATCAATAAGAAAAGAACGGAAACAAAACGCAATTGGTATGAAAATGCATGAACAATAATAATCGAAGACTCTGAACTGATATTTACAGAAGAAATAGTGAAGATTGAAACAATTAATTGTTATTTTGCGAATTGACCGTTTTATTGTATAGTCGTCAGATTTTAGTGAGATAGTCTGTATTTCTGTGACAAATACATTCCGTTATCTCCACTTGTTTTCCTAATTTTAAACAAACGAATTCTTTATTTTAATACTATGAGCCCTTTCGTCATTACACTTTGTTAATGTCAGTGATTATCAGTAAATGTCATGTTGACTGTGATGAGACTATGATTTATGGACGACTTTTGAACGAATCTTAATTAACCTTGAGAAATATTAGCCAATCAGGAAAAAGCTGGTAAAGAGTAAAATATATCATACAAAATCAATGAATTAAAGTGGATACACTTCTTTTATATGGTCCCAAATCGTTTCAAGCTTAGAAAGAGTTTTAAAAGTTTTATAATCGTACTGCATAAGGTAGAGGAACCCAACCATTCAGCTCCATAATAGTCGGTCTCTGGAGCCGTAATAAGGTCACAAAAAACGCTCTCAGCCTCGACCACATAGCTTCAGTATTGCTTGTATGTGCTCTGGTTGTGTAAGTTTATCATTTTTATTGTGGGCACGTCCATGTGATACTCGAACCACTGAACAGCCGAATCTTCAGTAATAACTGCGACTATTGCATCCAATGTTACTGGTGCTTTTATCATGCAGTTCGTGGCAATTATTATAATATACCTCAGTATCAATCTGGATCGAGCGAAAAAGGTTCCTATTCTAGCAAACGTCTTCCTTTAAAATATGTTACATCGGAGGACAATATCACGGTAGTCTGCTCGAAATCTGCAAGTCATTTAATTACCGCAATTACAAAGAAACTTATCAATAAAAATACTTATTGGTAATCTCATTTATTGTAGCTGCCTAAGTGTCAAGTCTACTCCAAAATCCTCTGTAAACCGACGGTACATCAACACCAGGTACTGAAATTGGCGCCGTGACCTTGAAATCCCCTAAATGCTTCTGATTGGCTCGTCCATAAATTATGGTTTCGCCGAATATATTTGTAAAATCTCAGCGAATGGATCTGAAGTAAATCTAACGTTTTGCCTGGTTATGTGGTCCGAACTTTATCAAGGATTATATTTCCATTCTATTTTTACGTTTCACATCAACTCGGAGCTCGAATACTGTGAAACTAATCGTTCTAATTTAGACGAAAGTTCTTTTATATCAGTAGTATATATATGAAATACTTTGGTTTAAAAATTTGTTATAATAAGCTGTTTTTTAAAGAATACTATGTTATTGAACTAACTGTCATCTTATTGAAATGAAAAATTTGAACATTATAGGGGTTTGTAAAATAAAATTTCACTTTGATGCGTGATCCAGAATGTAAACCAAGAACAGCAAGAGATCCTAGATCAGGTAGATTAACTCTAAATAATGAAAGGCAATATGATGCATGGTAAGATATTTCGAAGACTATAATTTAATGTTTGTAGTAGGATATAATTTATTTGGAAAATGTTTTAACTTTTTTTGGTCTCTAACAGTTTACGAATTGATTAGATATGAAGATCAGGTTTGTTATGACTTTAGGAAAAGAATAGGACGTGTGCTGATTCGCTATTGATTTTATGTCCGGATTTTTAACACGTGGATTATCCATTAATCGAAATACGACTTTTCCAATACTAACACTGTGACAAATCAATGACGTTCAACTATTGTGAGCAGTCTAGCGTCCTTATTGGTCTCTTGTCCACCTAGCCCTTCCAATTAAGTCGAGAACACCAATTGCTGATTCTGTATGTGAATGATTTATTACAAGCACACTCTGTTTATATACTGGACAGACAGACCACATGACACCATAGAATAGAAAATAATATTGGTTCAAGATGAAGCCAAATGTCACTGTGAACAGTTACACTAATCAATACAGTAATCAATAAACTGAACATAATTTGGGAACAGTAAATCGTACAGTAATCATGAATAGGTCAAAACGAAGCATATAATAAGGTGAATATAGATATACATAATCTAGTTACTCAATAGTTATACCATTGACAGGTTCTGGAAGTTACCCGTACTTTCATTATCACTAGGCTATAACAAGGTTACTTCTGGAATAATGATGTAAATATTCTTCTTTCATCTTTTGAATCTTTGCATGTAATTCGTATAAAACATATCAAGAACCATGACTACTAACTTGATTAAAAATATGTTTAAAATTATGGATTGATAAGATAGTAAGAATGCCAGAGAGTTTCTGGTAATATGTTGCTGAATTCAATCTGTAGTAAACATAAAAATCAATTTAGTTCTAATTACATGATTTCTATGAAGTAAGTCAATCAACCATATGATAAGACATGAATCGAATAAAGCAGCAGCATAAACGCAAGTATAGGTAAACCGAATAAAACCTAAAATGCTGGATGACAAATAAAGTTATCAGAATTAGCTGATGTAATACTTGTAGAAGGAAAAAAAGACGATTTTATTTTTAATCTGAACGAAAATCGATGATGTCGTTTCGAACGACCAGTAACTCTATAAAAAAACCCATCTAGATTCCAGTAATTAACAAAAATCTAACTCCATATTCATTGATATGTTTGATATTCAAAGGAAGAAACTGCCGTCCAGTGCTATCAGGTCTTCTATGGTCGTCTAGATTCAACGAACTCATGAATTGAATTATTAAATAAATTGTTACTATGAATTGTGATTTACTATAAAATAATTCAAACTGTCCAATATGTATTTCACCACTCACTGGATTCCTGTATGTGAAATAAGACCAAAATATCTCCAGAAATATCATTCATGTAATAAGTGAGTAAATAAAAGTAAACTAAGACTAAAAATATTTCAACGAAAACAAA